TAGCAGAGAGTGTGACAACCCCAGTCACCAAGTATTGAATGAAAAAAACCCCCGGTTTCTCAGATGTACCATAGGGTTGCTTCACACCACAAAGAAATAGGAATGATCATAACCCCCTGCAGTTTCAAGAAGTGACACAGCTATGTGACTGGTCTGACCAGAGCATTTTTCCCCAGGCAGAGATGAGGAATTTTAAACCTCATATTGCTGCAAGATACATATCACCTCTTAATCTGGTAATAAAACTTTCAGGCTATACTGTGCCATTACTTTTCTAGGTGGAATGCCTTTTCTTAATTTTTAAAAAAATATATTTTCCATCTTAAGATTATTTGGTTCCACCCTCTCTCAGCTCATTTACATTAGTGTAAGCCAGGAGTACCTCAAAATTAATAGGATTATGCCAAATGTATATCATATCTAAATCAGACCCATTCTAGTCATGCGTTTCAGAAATCTTAGAGCAATTTCTGGTCACAAACTCATTTTTGGTTAACCATAAGCAATGAGTATTAGAGACCATTTTCAGATTCTAAATTCATGTTTTGCTCAAGCGACTCCCATTAAAACAGAGTAACTAACCCCTCTGCAGCTCTTTCATATTTGTCCCTAACAGCCTATTCAAAACGTAAAACTAAGGATGTCTGATTAGAGCAAGTAGTACATCCTCATTACAGGGGGCTTAGATAGTGCAACGCACATTTATAATATTTTGCAGCATTAGCAGATGTGTTAAAATCACGTTTGCAGACTGAACCAAATCCTCTTCAGCTAACGTAGGTTATTTCTCTGAAGCCAGGGGTCCTTATTAGTGTCGTCTTTAATCTCTCCTGGGAGCAGGACGTATATCCCTGAACATCATCTTACCACTGGTAGGAGAGGGCTTAGCCAACGTGATGGGAACGGCAGGTTCCCCTCACAAAGCAGTCCATAGTCTACAGCAGCGTACTGGGGACGCAGACAGGCAGAAAAGGGCTGGGTCACCCCTGGACAGGGATGCACATCATTTCAGTTCCATAGTGTGCTAGCTGCACACAGGCTAGGCAGCTGGCACGCAACATGCATATGGCACATTGGTCTGGTTCCTCCCCCGGCAGCTCCTTCTGTAGGGACACAGCCCTGCGTTCACCAGAGGGTCCCAGTTCTGACCAGTCTGAAACTCACTGGGGCTGGCAGACCAGAGTTCCTGCCCGAGACACCATCCTCTTTTGCCTTACTTCTGTAAAAAAAAAACAACCAACAAAAACCCCACAAACCACAAAAAAAAAAAAACAACCCACAACAAAAAATAAACCAACCATAAAAAAACCCAAACAGGTATTCCCACCTCCTCCTGAGCTCTGAACTCAGCAGCAGACTGGGGCCAGGAGCCACTGTTTTTCAGACTGTTACCCGTGTATTTGCCCCTCGTGGTCTGGCTTTGCAATTTAGAATGCACTAGACATACATTTTCCCCCAGTCTTGCTCCCAAGGCAGCAAAGGTACTTGCCGAGGGAAGCTGAGAGTCCAGCCCCACTGCAGGCATACCGTTGGGTTCTGGCATAGGCACCAAATGCCGGAGCCTGCCCAGAGGCGAGCGGGTTTGGAGGGGGTATTACTGGTCCTCCCCAGGTGTTGGGGCTGTGCACGTGGGTGCTGTGGCAGGAAGGCAAACTCATGCCAGGTTGTGGGTGAGGAAGAGGGAGTTTGGCATTGCAGGATTGTCACCATGACTTTACACGCGTGAGGAGCAGAGTTGCTGTGATGTTTAGTGCCTACATTAGAAAGATGAGGAAATGAAGAAAAGAAAAAGATTTAGCTAACTCGCCCTTCTGAACAGTCCCCCGCTGCCCACGAGGTCTCATTACTACCAGTGAATGACCCAGACTACTGCACACCAAACTGGTCCTGAGCAAACATCATTAGAGTTCCTTAATTCTGATGCGGTTCTCCTGTTTCAGCGAAACTGGGAGATATGGGCCAGTTGGGAGAGGTCGATGAAAGAATTAAAAAAAAAAAAAAGAAAAAAAAAGAAAGAGAAAAAAAAGAAAAGAGTAGAGACGTTCCCTGGGGATCCGATGATAGCGTATTGAAGTTACTGGAAGGACTCCCATTGATTGCAGTGCAGTTTGGGTCAGTCCCCCTGATGCCGCGTGGAGGTTCTGCAATTCTTTGAACTCAATATTATTTCAGTGAACCTATTAATGTTTGGCTGTGTTAAACGTGTTATAATAATATCGCATTTGAAATAGAGTCACTTATAATTCAAAACTATACAGCCTGGGCACAGGAAAAAAAAATTTGTGGTATGTGTTCAGTAACATATTTGGTGCTGTGCAGCCGTTCTATAGAGTGCATTTAACTGTGTTTTGTGTATTATTCTTAACATGCATTCACAGTAGACAGCAAAGCAGCAGTTATGGGGTATGCTGTGAATGCATATTAACAGCAGTACACATTTGCATATCATGGATCCATAATACAAAATGCGTAGTAAAATCCTTATGAAAAGTTATTATGCATGCACAGTAGAGGCTTTTTAAACCTTGATATCTCAGCTATTTTGTTTCTCCACTATTTATTTGAAAATATTAAAAAGGTCAAATGATGGATTAAGAATCTGCAAAAATGTAATGTTACTACTACAGAGGGAATCCTTCAACACAAACTAATTCATTTATTTTGTTTTTAGTAGCAGTATAAAAGCCATTCAAAAATGCATTTTACAATAACATTTGAGTAGTTTAAAAAAAACCACCTATTTCAGCAATAAAAAAGGACAGAGAAAATATTTTTATAAAAGTGTATTTTGGAGGCTGGGTGATATAACTGGAAATTTTGATGGTCCTTCCCTTAACACAGAGCCACTACAATGTCAACCTTTCCTTCAATTTCTCATAGTATTTTTAGTATGCATTGAAACAGGGTTTGGTTCCTCAGGACTTTGCATATTTAGATTATCGTGCATTGTATAATACTCTGAATATGCAAAATCCTTGAAAAGGTTGACAACCCTTAGGACCTTCCACAATATAAATCTTAATACATAAATTCCTATTGAGAATAATGGGATTCTACCCTCTCCTCTGTTACACAGATTGTAATGTTTGGGATAAAATGAAACAAATGTTATGAATAGTACAGCTCTTGCTCCTTTTGAACGGTTGCCACTTAAGTTTTAATGTCTTTGTCACTTCAAATACATTTGCCTTAAGAAATAAAAATTTTAAAAAAAAGAGGCCTGAGCTCCATAAAGAATGAATGGCCTGATATGTCTCACTTCTGTAAAAAAAAAAAAAGTTTGGGGTGAGGGCTTTTTATTTTTAATGAAAGGCTCTAAAATCATTGAGCACATACGCGTAGATGTACATAACACGCTCTCCCCACACACACACGTTGCTCTGCTGCTGCCTTATTTTTTGTTCCCCTCCCTAATCAAAAAATGCCCAAACAGATTTAAATGAAACTTTGTGAAAACAAAATAGTTGGATCGGGGCTGAGAACATTAATGCCAAGCTTGGGCCCAATGTGAATTAAAGCAGATGAGTTATAAACCCTTCAAAAACAGGATTTATAATGGAAACGCTGACACAGACCCATAACAATAGCAGCTCTGCCAGGGTTTATTTTAATACTAAAAGCATACTCAGTCACTCACTTTTTTGAAATAGGGATTACTTAGTCACTAAAAAGCAGTGATACGTGATAATAATGAAAGCAAACTTTAGAAAAAAAAAAATGTTTCTAAGATGACACGTTGTTCCCCCTGTAACTCTCTTGATATCGCTTGTATGTGACACACCACTCCTTAAACAAACAAACAAACAAAAAAAAATCACAAACGCCAAACAGACCAAGGTGGAGTTTGCCATAAGCTCCATGGCAAGGCTGAGCCGAGAGGCTTTGTCAGCTTCATTTAACAGTTTCTTGCCTGTGGAAAGAGACAAAAGGGTTAAGGGAGGAGGAAGAGCAGGGAGTACAGGAGAGGCAGCTGACGGGAGAAACAAGGGCACGAAGAAAGGAGCAGCCAGGGAGGCAAATGGAAGAGCAGGGGGAAGAATTTTAGGAGGAGGAAGAACATGTTTCCAAAGGAAATAACTCAGTTTTTAAAACAGATTTTGGAGAAGCGTTCACAAAAAGGCCAGGCAGGCGGAAAAAATTTGGCAGGGGGGGAAGCCCTCTGAGCACCCCGAGTTACGCCTGCGAGCGTGTCACCCCACCGGGAGCAGGTGGGCCCTGGTCACATTGCAGCGGGGGGGCAGGATGGGGACGAGCAAGCGCACCTCTCTGGGGCTGCACGGCAAGCCACACGTTTAAGAAAAGAGGCATCATGTGTTAAAGCTTCATGTTGCACGTCCAGTTTCCCACAAATGCCTCTTTTCTTTCGGGAATATCAAAACCCACCAAGGGACACGAGGGGAGGATTTCTTAGAGCCGGCAGGAGGTTTGCTCCTGTTGACCTGCGCTCTGGGGCAACACGCTGCACTCAGAAAACCCCACACCCCAAAAATCGCTCACAACAACATCACACAAAAACTACTTTTTGTGACCGTGCTATGTGTCACAGCACCGGCGTTACTTCCCCATTCCTGCCTTCCCTTCCTTGCCTTTTTTTTTTTTTTTTTCCCTGGGTACCAGGTGCACCGGAGGGACTCAGATCAATACAAGACAGCATTTTCCGTATAAACAATACCGTATTAACAACCACAGGGCAGCCGTACCTGTAGGCAGGGATAGCACCAAATGTTGGCACGTCTATCCGTGCAGCTAGACTGCTAAAAAGAAGCAGCTCCAGTGGAAATGCACCTACTGTATGTGAAATGCTGGTGCAGATTTTTTTCCTTCCTTTTTTTTTTTTTTTCTATCAGTCTAACCTTCTGTGTTGATACATGAATGCTGGTACCCACTTAGAGGGATGCCAGATGATCAGTGCAGAATGAAGGTCCCAGGAGAAAGGCTCACGTGGTTTTCTCTGCCCCGTGACGTCACTAGCAGATGGCATGGGTACCAGCTCTGGCAGTTGGCATCAATGTCACTTTTTAGAGATCAATGAGATAGTGCAGATATACACAGATCTAGACTCCAGGAGACGATGCGACATTCAGACTGAAAAGATTTGGAAGGCAAAAAATGAAAACTGATTGTTGAATGAAATAAAAAGCTAAGGTAATACAAATAAAGATATATTTCAGTTGGTGCTGGGTGTGCATGCAAGTGTTTAAAGATACAGTATCATTGTCTTGTATTTTATGTATGCTATTTACTGTCTAATAACTCCTCCTAACATTTTATTCTTCTGATGCAATTGCATACTTTCACTGGTGTTATGTAATATTGCAAGTGTGTAGACAATACTGATAGAGTTAGTCTTTGACTGGGGTTTTTGTTTAGTTTTGTTCTATTAAAAAAAGTCCCTGCATTCGTTTTGTTTGTCTCTTTGAGGACCGGGGGGTGCAAGCTTTTGCTGCTCCCAAACTGCAAACAAAAGCTAAATAATTGGGAAAAGGAAATTATTTTCCCATTCCAGGCTGGATTCTGAGCACATGTGCAGGATTGCAGTCAGAATCTACAGACCGCTCCTGTCAGCTACGAGCTGGAGGGAGACGTTTGAGCCTCGCAGAACATAAACACTGCTATAGCGTGCAGGGAATTTTTCACCTCCCCCCCACCACAATTGATGGGGGAGAAAAAAAAAAAGGAGGAAAGAAAAAGAGAAAAAGCAAATAAGTTGATTCTAACTAGATAGATAATATCAATTAGAATTTTTGCTGGGAAAAAGGAAAAAAAGGTAGGGGGATTTTATTTCCTAACTCTAATCTGAATAAGTTTAGGGTTAGAGCATTCTGATTTTTGTCTTTATATGAAATAAGTAATATGTGATTTTCATACAAATCATTAGAAAAATAATTCTTCATTTTTAATTATGTTACTAGCTGAGTGATCGGGGGGGGGGAATGTTCCGTTATTTATTTTTTTTCCTCACCCACTTTAACTTACTAGAGTTTAATATCTTGATTCATAAGGGAAGAAACATGGAGGGGGAAAAAAACTTTGAAATACATGTCAAAAAGTGATTTTAAAATATTTAACCATCAGTTAATAGAGATATGGCACTTCTCAATTTTAAGACTGCTCTCGCTCTCCTCATTTTTTCACCCAGGGGAATTTGGATTAATGAAATTTCTGTATTACTTTATCATGTTTTGCATTTCTTTGAATTCCATGGTGGCGAGGGTTCGAAGGGCTTGTTTAAAAATAAGATAAATGAGCAGGGATCTAATTGTATATTTTAGATTTACTCTATATTTATCTGTGAGAAACATGGCTTTTTAGTTGCAAGATCCTGAATGTTTAGAGTGATTTTAAAATTCTGGACAGCTTTTATTTTTTAAAAAGCAAGCATTTGCAACTGGCCTTTTATGCAAAAAAATATAGATTGTGCGTTTATATATCTACACACACACTCATATACACAGAGCGTGCACACAGACGCACGAAAGGTGCATGAGGATGTGTGTGTAAGTCGGCAAACTTTAAAAATGGAAATATTTAAGTATTGTGCTGGCATTCTTTCAGGTAACTTAAGATTATAGAACCATGTTAACACTACCGTTTGATGAGTCTGTTGTAATGCCAGAACCCCAGATGTGCAGAAAGTTTTCCAGAGAAAGCGATGACCAAAAGCAAATGAAGAACCCAGAAAGCTTTTCGAAGCAGATCGTGCTCCGAGGAAAGAATATTAAAAGATCTCCTGGAGAAGACACAGAAAAAGAGGAGGAGGAGGAAGAGAGAGAAGAGGAGGATGAGAACGGCTTGCCTAGGCGAAGGGGCCTTCGGAAAAAAAAGACGAGCAAGATAAGGATGGAAAGGATCAAATTCAGGCGACAAGAAGCCAACGCTAGAGAGAGGAACCGGATGCACGGCCTTAACGACGCCCTGGACAATTTAAGGAAAGTGGTCCCTTGTTATTCTAAAACACAAAAACTGTCCAAAATAGAAACTTTAAGACTAGCCAAGAACTACATTTGGGCTCTTTCTGAAATCCTGCGAATTGGCAAGAGACCTGACCTGCTCACCTTTGTCCAAAACTTGTGCAAGGGTCTGTCCCAGCCAACTACAAACTTGGTGGCGGGATGCCTGCAGCTGAATGCCAGAAGTTTCCTGATGGGCCAGGCGGGCGAAGGCGCCCATCACACCCGCTCGCCCTACTCCACCTTCTACCCCCCCTACCACAGCCCCGAGCTCGGCACCCCCCCGGGGCACGGGACTCTCGACAACTCCAAGTCCATGAAACCCTACAATTACTGCAGCGCTTACGAGTCCTTCTATGAAAGCACTTCCCCCGAGTGTGCCAGCCCACAGTTTGAAGGTCCCTTAAGTCCTCCCCCAATTAACTATAATGGGATATTTTCCCTGAAGCAAGAAGAAAGCTTGGACTATGGCAAAAATTACAATTATGGCATGCATTACTGTGCAGTGCCACCCAGGGGTCCCCTTGGGCAGAGCTCTATGTTCAGGTTGCCTACAGAGAGCCACTTCCCTTACGACTTACATCTGCGCAGCCAGTCTCTCACCATGCAAGATGAATTAAATGCAGTTTTTCATAATTAATGAGGAAAATGAAAATAAACAGTGGTCATTCACCTCCCCATCTAATTAAGAGCAAGCAGATGCTTGGGCACTGCGTAATTGGCACAACTCTATTTAACGTGTTTACTAGTTCCTAAAGTGTGTTTCAACTATTGTGGGGATTTTCTATGTATTAATAAACCCTTTTTCCGATAAGTATTTTTCCTTTCGTTTTTTTGTCTGTAAACACTGTGAGATTCTGTTTCCTCCCAGAGGTTATTCCCCCCCCTCCTTTTTTTTGTTTTTATTTCCCTATTTGCTTGATTTGTTGAGCAGTGTGTCTGAACAATATCGCTGAAATAAAAGCATACACACTGTGTAAAGTCAATGTCTATTTTGATTGTACAGTAATTATACAAATGCATGTTATTGAAATCAGATTAATTAAAATGATGTATTTATAATTGGTAGAAAATATATATTATGTATTTGAGGAGAACTGGATTAAAAATATTCAGAATTTTAAAGAAATTATCTCAGAACTGAGATGGGCTTGCAATATGCAGAGGTGAGAGTGCAGCAATATTGAAAGCTATGCAAAAAAAAAACAAAAAACAAAAAAAGCAAACAAAAAACAAAACAGTTTTTTTGGTTGTTGTTTTTGGGTAAGCTAAGAAAAACCAGTGATTGTCACTGAGATTATTCAGCCTGACCTTTAGAGTGTTGCTGGCAGGGGGCACATGCTAATATTTTAGAAGATGTTGTCGAAATTTTGCCTCAATTATTTTGACCATATATAATCAGCACTTTTTTTGTATTATTCTGACTTCAGATGTAAAGGTTTGTTATAACAATGTATAACTGTGGTTTCTCACTACGTACTTTAAATGCAATTAAACATAGATGTTTCCACTTTTAAAATACATCTATTAGCTGTGATACTGTATTTTGCCTGATACTTATTATTTCACAGTATACAGCTGCCTTTGGTCTTGCCTACACAGCTTTCTTCCCCGCACCCCCGTAGTGCTTGAGCCTGGGGATGGAAATCATGAATTATCAGGGCGATCCTCGTGCTATTTTCAGAAGGATGTATTAGCAATGCAGCAAAAGCAGACCCAAAATATCACAGAAACAGCTGCGTGCTAAATGAAACACAGGTTAGAGGAAGAAGGTAACTTTATAGCTCAACAAAATGCCAAATTTCATACGGGAAAGGGCCCTGAGCAGACACGCAGGCCACTAGCTGCCCCTCCAGCTCTGGCTTGTGGAGGGTGCAGAGCGTGAGAAGCATAAAAACTGCAGAGCAAAGGACTCCCTGAACATTGCTGAACTTAGTCTTGGCTACTAAACAGCACCAGTAAACTATAGATGCATTTGCAACCCACATTAGTTCAGCAGCTGCAGGGGTCTGCACGGCCCCTCACACCTTAACAGAGTTGAGCTCAGCTGAGCTTCGGTCATTTTCTAACCGCTCAGAGCTATTTCTCGATAAGCTACACGTGTGACAAAAAGAATGAACAATTCAGCTAAAAACCAACAGCTTTTAGGTGCGTGAGTGAGCAAGACCTCTTGATTTTGAGGGAGAAATAGCAGCTACCTGACAAGCATTCACCTGAAGTACCAAAATGCTATGCTGTGAATGAGCAGGGAATAATTTTTTTTAAAAACTATATAAAAAGTGCAAATTCCACCTGCAGGTTAGAGACCCCTGGCTGAATCACAGTCTGGGTTACAGTTTGTTAATGACACATCAACCTCAAACCTTCATTTGAGTATGCAGCTTGACAAAGAGGGCACAGGACAATTTTTCCTGATAATTTGCCTAATTTCACAAGCGGGACTTGTAAAACAGTCTGCCCCGTCAAGCATTGCAGCTCCTTCAGGACAACAGCAGCTTGATATTCATCTCTTCCAAATAAGACCAGACTACCCCGGCTACTGGAGAGGGGTAACAAGTCCCAAAGTTTGGATCAGGGTCTAAATGCTTCCAAGCTTGCAGAGGGAGGGGGCGGACATGGTGTTTTGCTCAACCAACATCCTCTCTAGACACAAATATCAGGCCCAAAATAGAGCCTTTTGAAGCAAAGTCTTGAGGTTCAGGGGGTTTGGCTCAGGATTATCCCATCTTTCATCAGGGTCAGGAACTGTGGAAGGTACTGGCAGTGGTTTTCTGCCTTGGATGAAAGGTGATGGTGATGACTGTCAGCTCAAAAGCATCTCCAGGTGTTTTGCACTGGATATAGGAGGGGTTTGGGGAAAGAGAAGAGGGTAAAATAGGTTGTGTTTGCTGTTATTCAGAATGAGCTGATATTCAGCAAAGCATGGAAAGGTGACAGGAGAGAGCAGAAGGGGGAAGAAGCCAGTCAAGGAGAAGAAAGCATGCAGTCCTGGGCACAGATTCGCATGAAGAGACACTGAGGTATACTAATATATCACAAGGAGCTATAGGCAAGTGGGCCCAGAAACAGGGGATCCTTTGAAGGGGGAGCAGATGCCCTCCCACTGAGCAGTGGCAGCAAACTTATCTAACCAATTTTTGTAAGGGGAGCCTCCACCAGGAGGCTGAAAGTTAGCCGAGCACCTCAGAGTAGCCTTGCCGCACCAGGGAAGGGTGCGTTTGCATAAGTTGAGAGCGAAGCCAGGAGGCAGCTGTAAAGTCCTGCACCAAGGGAAGGAAATGCCTGCCGCAGTACATTCAGCAGGCACCCGAGGGGTGTTAAGACTTCAGGCTCTGCAATCAGGGGGTCTCCATCTCTGTGGCCCTATATTAACTCAATAACTCATGGGCCAGTTCCAGTTTCCCCTTCTGGCAGCAGAAGCAAAGGGAAAGGGGGAAAAAAAACATCCCTGCCAGTTCGGATCTTTCTCGCTCACTCCACGACAGATGGGGAGGCAATTCGCAGCCAGATTCCCCCTCTGGTAGCTCAAGGCGGGCACCACGCTTGCTCAGGGCATTGCAAATTGGAAAGGCAGTCCAGAATAAATAATGGAGCAAGTCATAGAAAAATATTGAGACAGCATAAAAACCCCCGACATTCCCTGTCTAGGAGGGTATAGATTATTTAGATATATGGAGGTAGGGGATTCCCTTGAGAGCAGGCTCTCTTGCATACCTTCCCTTTCACGCACACAGCAAACATTTCTGTGCTCCTTCGCTGGCCAGTCACAGAACATAAGGTGCTCTGAGCTCTGACGTGATTTATAAAAACCTTTGAAGTCACCTTATTTTAGGGAAAAAATCCGAGCGTCGAGAAAGTTCTGGTGCCTTAAACTCACAGGAATAAAAGCCAGTGGATTTCTTTACCCGTAATCTCTGCTTTATAAGGTTTGTCTCCTTTCAACCCCATTCGTACAGCAAAACAAAGCTGCTCATTTCTGCGTGCCTTGTTCTCCTCTTAACTGCCTTCACTTCCTTGAGGATAGAAATATGTAAAATAGCAACTGCTCCAGAAAAATTAGGTGAGAAGTTTCTATTCTCCCCTGTCCTCTAGCACAAGAGTAATGAAGCCTTCTGTCAATTTTAGAAGTGGGAACCCCAAAGCTGCCAGAAGAAAAGCTATTTCATACATGGTTTTGTCACACAGTGGAACTCTTTGCCATTTATTATTTCCCAGAGTAACATTTTAGTGTGATTTTTAAAAAGCACTGTATGTTTTTATGGTATCAGAAATACACTAATTACTTAAGAATGGCTGTACTGGTTCAGATTAAACATCTATCTAACCTAATATCCTGTTTCCAACACGAGGGCTTATAAAAAGGTGTCCAAAGATGTCAGAACAGGGTGAGGAAAATAAATATTTGTTTTACTAATAAAAATGCTGGAAAAAAACCCCTAAACATCATGTTCCAGGATTTCAGCCAGCCCTGAAGACAGGAATGCACCTGAATTGGAAAAGGGGTGGGAGGCATGACAGCACACTGCAGGGTTTGCACCCTTTCCTCTGCAACACTGGGCTCACTAGTAATCACGGAGTAGGATGGACTGGGTAGCGCTAGGCTGTACCTCTGAACTCCATCTCAAAAAAAGCCTCAGCAGGAGTAAAATTTAAAACCAGTGGCCCCAGCCCCACAGTCCTACAAATCCCAGTGCGACCACAAAGAGAGAGGGAGGGGTAACCACTGCTTTGCCAGAGCTCAGAGGAGATCTCAAAGCTCCTCTGCGTTACAGTAGGAATACGCTCATTTTAGGACACATCCTGGCTGTGGTTCCTTTGGGACTGTCTGCATTCTTTCACTTCATAGCTATCTGCACAAAGATTTTTAAAATGTACGGAGATTGCACAGGCACAAACGTGACGGCAGGTTTTTTCTATACTAGCAATTCCCTCTCCCATTTTTACCCCTACTTTACTCTTCTCTTCTCCCATTTGCCTGTAGGGCTCTCAAATGGCAGCAAATTAAGTGAAATGCCATCAATAAAGATGAATGAAATCCCAGTGAAACACATGGCAGAATCTTTCCTTGGAAAAGCAAATAATACTTGCCTAAATTAAAAAGTAGCTGCATGGTTTTGTTTTTCAGATTGTGAATCTAGCTTAACTCAAACCTACGGTTATACTTTATGGTCTGTACCCACGGTCGAAGCAAATTTAATCCTGGTACCAAAATCCTACAGCTTTTGATGTACAAGTAGCAGAGATGGTACTGCTTTGGGCTGAATTGTCATGAAAGCAGCTCCCCTTATAAAATTTCAGCAATTTCCAAATTAAAAGGAAAAACAAACAAACAAAAAAACCAAACAAAAAAAAACCCTCAATAATCTGGCTGTGGGCCTGACCCAGAGCTGAACCATGGCAGCAGGTTGTGATTTTGCTCTGGAGAGACACAGATCAGCGTGGCGAACAGCTGGCACCGTGCCACCGCAGAATCTCAAGGGCAGACCTGTCGTGTCTCACTGATACAAATCTAACTACCGTACATGGGGCTGCCATGCAGAATCGCACTCCCAAGCCCTCTCCACCGCACAGTCAGACCTGAGCGAGTCGTCTCACAAAATTCTTGCACGTTATGCCAAGAGGATGGCCTATTTTCCTGCAGAGCCTTCCCCCTTACCCCAGAGGATGTGCAAGAATGAGCTAGGAAAAGGGAGAGGAAAGCCAAATTCACAGGCAAAAGAGCTCCGGGGCGGAGGGGGGGAGTTTCTTTTTTTTTTAATGCCTGCAGTGTGGAGTCCCTGTGACTCACAACTGGCTTTGAATTGGCATCACCCACAAAGGTTGTTACGGAGTTGTAAAGAGTTTTTCTCCCCCTTCTCCCCCAAAACACTGTTTTCTCTTGGCTGTTTTCCTTTGTCACTAGCTCCTTAGACTTCCACATTTATCCCTCTAACTGCGCTACTTGCACTATTTAATTCTAGGACACCATGTATGTAGAACATACCATACGGAAACAAGCCAGATCTAGCTGTAGCTGAAATTCTGGACTACTTTATCAAAAAAATAATAAAATTTGAACAGAAAAGCAACCTTTATGATTTATCATTTTTCTAGGATATTCAGTGTATCCCCATCCCCACCCCAGCCTAGTGAACATTGTACTTTCTGATATTCTGGGGGTTTTATTTGCATTTCTTAGAGCATAACAGGTTTGGGGTTTTTTCTTAATTTTTTTTTTTTATTGGAGTTGATTAATATGTGAAATAGTATTTTCAAACTGATGAAATTTCCTGGTCTATAAGTATCCCCACACGTAAAAGGTTATAAATTCTGAAGTACTTGGACATTCTGTTTGCAAATGAAAATGATAATAATCAGCTGAATTGGAGGTCCTTGTACAGATAGAGAATCCAGGCTAAATCAGAGATTATAACATAAATTTTGTACTCTTGAAAGCAGGAACGTGAGGGCTTGGGTCTGCTCTTGTTCCACGAGAGTTCAGCAGATACCAGATTGGATTCTAAATCACACGGGAAGCTAAACGTAGCCTTATCCACTACGT